GGTACATATTCTTATGCATTACGTGTTATGCGTTATGCAAGAGTCTGTGCTCCCCGCTGTAAAGTGTACTAATCTTTTAGCTTTGTGGGTTCAAAGCATTGTCAAGATCTCTACGTTAACCTCAGAGAAGAGTAATAATATAAAGTCTAGTAAGACCGCTCGAGCAGGACGGACCTGTGTTTACCCTGCTTCGGGTATTATTGCATCATCTTATTAATTTTTTGCTGAAAAGCGTTTCCGGTTATAACTGTGATTTGCATTACATTATTACTTTGAGAAGATTGGCCACGTAAATCCAACTAAGTTGGAACCCGGGCCATATAAATATAGAAGAAGAAAGAAGAGTAATAATAGGCCTTCTACAATAAATCGCAAGTCAGAACTTCAGAAGTCTTAACCAGTCTTAACCAGTCTTAAGTCGTTTAAGTTGGCTATTGGCCAACTTCACTGATTATGACTTAAGATCGCTTAGAACTTCTGACTTGCGGCTTACTGTAGAAGGGCTGTTATTGAACATTCGATTTGAGACCTTTGCTCCCCAAAGAGATTATTCATTGGATCGAAAGATCCGTTATTTTTGCGTGGTACTGTGACTCTAAATTTGAGTCGGAAAACCAATCAAGGGGAAACCAAAAGAAGAAGAAAGTGTATTAAGAAACTAATAGATGGCTCTATTTCATGTTTTGTAACGTGCAATAAGCTGTGTATGTACAAGTGGATTTTATATAGGTCTATATTGGGGTAAACGCTCCATTCGAGACCTGTCTTAGGTGGGATAAAGGTCAGGGTATAGATCAGATCGTTGAGTGTAAACTAGGCCAGTGTCTCCAAATACAGAGATTTTTCACCGAATGGAAATGTGGGTAAAACAGGAGACTTTAGCATCGCCTTAAAATCACAGATATGTACAAAATCTGCAACAAATTTTATATTGAACATATAGAAAATATCTAAATTCTATTCCGCTCAAACTTACGGAATTAGAATGGAACGAATTCTAATTCCTCAATTCCAAACGAAGTTTTGATAGAGATCGACTATTTGACAATTTATACACGGGACTTAAGATCTGCGTAATTTTAATGTATTCAATTTTCAATTTAATAAAAAAATATTATTTCCATTACATTGTCAATAACTTTTATCGTAATTATTATCCAATTATTATATATGGAAATTTATTAGTATCGAAATTTGAATCTATTAAAATTCCGTAGTTCTTAATATATCTTACATAGCATTTACTCTAGCATTTTATTCTACTCTACTCTTCATATTTTCGAACGCGTCGCATCATAATCGGAAGAAACTGATTCCTTCTTTCTAGATTCATTCTTCTGTATCGGTTGTATTGACAAGAACTTGTATTTGTACACTTGCGGGACCAAGCATTCGAGAGCCACGTGAGTGATAGCGCCGGTAAAACCCCAGACACGGTATTTTCCACCCAGGTAACATGGCAGGGTCACAAGTGGTCGGTGGAAACTCGTGAAACTAATCAGCTTAGGATCGCACAATTTTTGCAGGCTGACCACGAACGCTTCTTCTACCTCATCAGGATTGATCTCCAGTTCTTCCGGCACCACCTCGCCAATGTAGGCTAGAACTGGCATCACATTAACGTTAGACTTGCCGATGAGATTCCCTGTGGTCCACACGTCGATTTTCTCCCTGGGAATCTTCAACTCCTCCCAAGTCTCTCGCAAAGCAGTTTCTTGTAGATCAACGTCGCTCTTATCATGCATGCCACCTGGGAAGGATACCTACAACAGATATCCTTGAGAAATTTGTTTCCTGTTATTTTAAAATTAAATTCGAATACTTGAGTGTGCAAATTGTATTTCAACAATATAATAATTATATATATATATATATATAATATATATATATATATATATATATATAAGGCTCTGATATATATGAATTTAAAACAAAATTTATAATATACACTAGTAAATGCCAACTAAAAACAATGTAACTATCAATGTTATAATTTCATACTTAATGTACAATTGTTATGTATAATATGTTATACATTATATTTATATTCCTGAGCATTAAATTATAACATTGATGTTACATGCTATTATTAGTTGATACTTACTGGCAATTTATTTATATAAATTTATAACTTATGAAATATTTATACGGATAATATACAAACAACTGACTTGTCCCCGATTGGATGTGAGTTTCATGGATCGCAGAGTATATAAGAATCCGAGTTCTCCTTTATATAAACACAATGGGACCAACACGGCTGCTTCTGCTACATTACGCAACTTTGGCATTGGGAATGTTTTGAATTTTTCGATGCAAGCCTTGCGATTGCTCTCCGAGAGCACCACCTCGACTTTCAGAGCGGAATCGACCATGTCAACACGCTGTTTGGACGCTATGGACTTTAAATAAAAATAATTAAAATATTTTTATAAGAGAGAAAGAGAGTATATAGAATCATATATATTACTTTTATAAGCCCTAAAACTTTTTAAAAGTAAATCTTACACTAAAGAATGAAAATTTACTACTAAAGACTGAAAATTGAGCCACTCTTTTTCAAGACTGACTCAATTTTCACTTTTAGAATGAAATTCCATTCCAAAAAATTTAGAGAGTATATAGAATAGGGAGTTTGCATAAATTTTGAAAAATATTACATTTTATAATTTATATATACAGAGTGTCCCGACCTTTTTTGCCAATCACTTTTGTGTAGATAAAGTGGACTAAACTGAGTCAAAAAGTCCTCTACCATTTTGTAATAGTTAAAAAGATATTAATTACTAAAAATTGCAAAATATTGGTCTTGAATAATTTTTTACTTAAATAGTATCAACTTTACAGAAAAACTGCAAGAGACAAAAATTATTTATTTTCTTCTCATAAAGTTCTGAGAATTTTTTCAGAATTTTTTAATACCATATTTTCTCATGTTGGTGAATATAAGAAAACGCAGTACTAAAAAGTTAATAAAAAATTTTGTTGGAAGTGACTCATCAAGCCATTTCAAAACGCCTCAAGGCATCATGGGAATGATTCAGAAGCAAGGAAATTGGGTGCCTTACGAGTTGAAGCCGAGAGATGTTGAACGACATTTGTTTGCTTGTGAACAGCTGCTTGAAAGGCAAAGATGGAAGGAATTTCTGCATCGCATTGTGACTGGGAACGAAAAATGGGTTTATTACGATAACCCCAAGCGCAGAAAATCATGGGGAGTTCCCGACCATGCTTCCACGTCGACGGCCAAATCGAATATTCACGGCTCCAAGGTCATGCTCTGTATTTGGTGGGACCAGCTCGGCGTAGTGTATTATGAGCTGTTCAAACTGACTGAAACAACCACAGGCGATCGGTATCGAACGCAACTGCTGCGTTTGAGCCCAGCATTGAAAGACAAACGGCCGCAATACAACGAGAGACACGATAAAGTGATTTTGCAGCATGACAATGCTCGACCCCATGTTGCGAAAGTGGTCAAGACATACTTGGAAACGTTGAAATGGGAAGTCCTACCCCGCCGTATTCTCCAGACGTTGCTCCCTCTGACTATCACTTGTTTCAATCAATGGCACACGGCCTGGCTGACCAGCACTTCCGGTCTTATGAAGAAGTAAAAAATTGGATTGATTCGTGGATCGCCTCAAAAGATGACCAGTTTTTTCGACGCGGGATTCGTACGCTGCCCGAAAGATGGAAGAAAGTAGTGGCCAGCGATGGACAATACTTTGATTCATAAATGTATAACCAGTTTTTTACAATAAAGTCTCGAATTTCGAAAAAAAAAAACGGCGGAAGCAAAGTTGTACACCTAAGGCGTCGTCGATCCACAATAGACGGAGTAAGAAGTAAGAGTAAGAAATTGACCAATCACAGTCGAATGTGAGAAGAATAATCGACTGTGATTGGTCAATTTCTTACTCTTACTTTTTACCCAGGTAGCAAGCTACGTCATTTTGACGTCATTTTGACGTCAGCTTGCTACCAGGGTACTCCGTGTATTGTAGACGACGCCTGATATATAAAATACGTTTTTTTGCTCTTTAATTAAAATAATTATAAAAATATTAATGTTTATGTAAAAGTATTCAACATAACCTTAAACGTAAGCTAAAACACTGAATGTCAAATGTAAAGGTATTTTGGGATTTTGTAAAATTATTTTACATCTAAAATTATTTTAAAATTATAATTCATGAGATTAATAAAAAATTATTGCTCTCTCAAATATTTTAACCTTCTGATGTTGCACATTCAAAGCATTCTACGCGTTGAATTATTTCTTTTTCTTCATCGACAATACAGATTACAGTATAATCTTTTTGTTGAACTCGGTGTTCAGGGCAAATTCTTCCTTTTACTATACAAATAGAACCTTCCCGTTTTACGCTAATACAACCTATAGGTTATACTCCGCTATAGCGGAGTCAGTGCAATTTTCTCTTGATGATCTATGATAGATATATTAATTATAATATTTATTCACGCTGCTTAGAATAAAATTGAAAAAAATTACCACTGTAGTAATAAAAATGTACTTACAAAGTTGCTTTTATTCCTCGAACTTCTGGAACATTATATATCACTTATAATTAATAATATACTCCCAAACCATAAATACATTTATTTGTGGTAAATTCATTGAATCGACTTTAATAAATTCTGAATACAGTTGATTTGGCATTTTATTTTAATGATCTTAAGTTATAAAGAGATTTTTAAAAAGAAAATTTTAAGATTTCGCTTTAGCCTTCCAGCGTGAGCAGATGGTTGCAGACATCACGCACTTGTTAGCCAATCAAAATTATTTTCTCAAATTTCAAATATCATTAAACTTTATTTTAGTTTTTTAGTACTTATTTATTGCTAAAAATTACAAATTTTATAATATTATACATAAATTTATAATAATGCATATTTCCATAATAAATAAAAGAAAATATAATTTTTTTAAATGCAAACTCCCTATATACTTTAAATCAACATATATTAATATAAATTAGATGTTATGTTAATATATGTTAATAAGTTATAGTCTTTTATTTCAAATTTCCTACCGTTGACTGTAGGTCTGTTCATGTTGCACTTTTTGTACTTAAAATCTTCACTTTCTCTCTTTCTGAATATTTATTTCGTCAGAATATTAATTTTGTTTTAAATGCACAAATTTTTGGAAATTGTAAATAAGGCAAATAAATATCTTATACCTTATAGGTTTATTCTTTGTAGCTGAACTAAAGTATACATTTTTGTATTTAAAATGAAATAGGTATATGTTTGATATTTAGTGAAAGCGAAGAAAGTAATTGATTTTATAGTACAATTCAACAGTAATAAATAAACAAAGCTAAATATTCGAAATTTGTCGAAAACGAGGTAGAAAGTTTTAATGCAATTCAGTTTAATTCAGTGCCGTGATAAAGAACAAACCTCTTGTCCAGCTTGTTCTATTTGTGATAAGTTTAGTAGCACATGATGGCGGTCTGACGCAAATGCAATGTGTTAATGCACGATTCAAGATTTTCTCTCGCAAAATACGGACGACATTTTGTGAAACACTTACGAAGGCACGTAACAAAGGGCGTATCGACGCTGCGAGTGACTGCATCAATCGGCGGATTAACGTAAAATTAAATATCGATGAAGAAATTGCTAAAACCTGATTACGATGAAACGCATGACACACAGTGCATGTAAAGATGCAAGTGAATGCTTCAAAGTTCAAGATGCTTTAACAGAACTATTATGGAGTTCGGAAAGCGATTCAGAGATGTCTCCCTTACAGTTATTTTTATAGAGTTCTTAGGAACATGTATTTTAGTTTTCTCTGCTTATATCTTTATTTATTACTTTATGGGTGGCACCCAGTTGGACACGGCTCAATTGGACACGAGCCACTCACAGCGCTTGAGATTACAAAGCTCCTAGGCACCGGTCGCTGTGATTGGTGGTGTCCAATCGAGACGTGATCAATCGGGATCACCCCATTAATTACGATTTAATGTGTCATTGAGCTTTATAGCGTTTTCGGCCCGATCGGGTTTGCACCAACCTGGGTTGGATTAATCTTTCCTATTGGTTGACGTCACCCGCTCTACCAATAGGAGAGCACAA